AATCTTCACTTGGAACTTACAAACTATGAAGATATGAAGAAAAATGAAGGGCAAGAGATAAGAACAGCCATTGTATATCACATTGTAAACAGTTTGAACAGGCCAACAGGGGCTCCACATTCTTCACTTGCTATGCGGCAGAGTGGCTTTCCTCTGTAACATCAAAGTCACTTTCATTCATACTTTCAAAATGTGTCTAACAAATAGATACTGCGTGTTAGGAATTATGGGTACAAAATGGATTTTTAAAAGCCCCTGAATTCAAAAGGATGAGTCTCTGCGCATGAGGCGGGATATACAGGGAACACAGATCCGAGGTCATCTGCGAAGTGGTAAGTCAGGTTTGGCTCAAGGAAATTAGACAGTACGCAGCTGAGGTCAGCATCACAGCGTTTCACTTCCACAAACCCTGGCAAGCAGATGGAATCTCTCCAGTCTGTTCTAGTAGTTAAAAAAGGAAATACAATACAGCTTCCTATTTATGAGAGATGTTTAGGAAGCAAGTATCTTCCAGTTGATTTCTTGAAAAGATCAATTTCTCTGAAGTTTTGCTTTTTTATCTATAAAAAGTAGATAATAATAAACGTGACAACAGAAAATCTAGTGTGACTTGCATAATCACCCATTAAAAGTGTCCTGTTCTTTTGGGTTAGGAATTCAATAAAATTCTGAGAATTAAATAAAAATAATACTCATAAAACACATAACACAGTTATCTATCACACAGGAAATGTCCATAATGCCAGTAATCCCTTATTAAAGTCATGTCTTGCCTGCTAACTGCAAGTTCTGCCCCGACCACAGTGTCCGACAGATGTCCATCCTCTCTGACTCTTCCAATGCAACCCTTCACCCCGGGGGCCTATCAGTTCTGTGCTTGTGGGAGATGCGCTCCAAGCAGCCCTGCGGATACCAGTTTTAGGACATCCAAACCCTTCTATAAAGCCAGCAGTATGTGCATATAACTTACACATATCCTCTCATATGTTTTAAATAATCTCTGGGGTACTTACTATAACTAATTCAATGTAAATGCTTATACTATTTAGGGAATATTGTCCAGAAGAAAGTTTATACTAGTTCAATGTAAATATAATGTTTTCATCTATATTTGATTGAATTTGAGGTGTGGAATGCTTAGATGTGGAGTATCAACTGTATTAGTAATTCTAATGTTCTTCAGTTTAAAATTTGCCTCAATTACAGTCACATCATTTTTTTTTCCTGAGACAGGGCTTTTTAGATTTTTAAAAGCTTTAAAAAGGGCTTTTTAGATATGTAGCCCAGGTTGGCCTTGAACTCAAGGCAATGCTCCTTCCTGAGTCTCCCAAATGCTGGCATCATAGGCATGCACCACCACAGCCGGCTACATTTTATCCTAAATATATTCACATTAGGCAAGTATCCTGCACAGTGTTCCTTTACTTCCTAAGTAAATGGAATGGCTGGTGTCCAAAGGCATGTAGCTTTGCCATAGTTTTGGTCCACTTCGAAAGCAAGCCTCCTTCCAGTACTGAAGGGAACTAGATCAAGGTGTGTCCGGAGCTCCGTGGAAGGCGTACAGTCCTGTGAAGCAGACAGACACTGTAGAATGTCTCAGCCTCTGGACGACTTTTCCAACTCACTACGTGTGTTTTCCATATGTAGAATGACAAGGCTGGTTCTATATGTTCTGAGGGTTTCTGTGATTGAGATCATGCATATAAAGTGTATCACTCATACCGATTGCTCAGTGAGATGGGTGTGGTGGCTCACGCCTGTGATCTCAGCACTCTGGGAGGCTGAGGCAGGAGGCCTGCAAATTCAAGCCCAGCAACTTACTGATTTAGCAAGACCCTGTCTCAGAAAATAAAAGAGCTGGGGACAAAACTCAGTGCAAAAACCCTAGATTCAGTGCCCGGCACAGGAAAAAAAGGGGGGAGGGGTTCAGTATCAGTGATTAATTTTCTGCCATTCCTGATTAGAGCTGACACCAGGAACATTAGAAAAAATATAATAAACATATGGCTTTTGGTAGAAAGGTATTAAGAAACTTCTCCTAGGTCACCCAGGAATTGTTTAGGGGCACAGGTGGTACATTAAGTTCCCGTGCGTCTTCACTTCGCTCAGCAGCTCTCCGTCGGAGTCAGACGCGGCGCTGCTCGCCGGCCCGCCCACCGTCGCCCTGCAAGCCCCTCTCGCTGTCCGCTCCGACGGCGCGCGGCCTGCCGCTCCGGACCCGCAGCAGGAGCTGGGCCTCGGGCTGCCGGGCTGCCCCGG